TACAGCTACCTCAGTTTTTACAGGGATGTGGAGTCTGGCAGTGTCTCTAGATACCTATCACACTTTTTTTTTTGAGACCAGGTCTCGCTATGTAGTTGAGACCAACCTGGGACTCACTGTATAGCCCAGGCTGGTCTCTAACTCACAGTGATCTTCCTGCCTCAGCCTCCTGGGCGCTGGGATTATAGGTGTGCACCACCACTCCCGGCTCCTACCAGACTTTTGTAAGGTTACTTGTGTCAGAGCCCCATCTGCAAATCAGCTCTAAGAGAAGCCAAAGGCAACTGTGAAAAGATGGGAAGGGGCACCGAGTACCCCAAAACCTCAGCAGGAACCTCATTTCCTAGTTTATGGCCTCATTGGCTATGGAGATGCTTTATAAATACATCACCCCATGCTGTGACTGGCATTTCTGCCGGACAGCAAACCCAGTGTGTGGCACCTACCCAAAGGCCCATGCAGCACCAGGCACGCAGGAAGAGCTCCAGAAAAGCACATTGCAACAGTGAATGTGCCCGCTGCCCACAAGTCAGGTTCAGATGTCCCTGGAGTGTTGATGCCCCGTGAGGGAAGCGTTTCGACTTTGTGTCCCGGACTCCCAGGCCGGAGCCAGTGCTTCCAGGAGGGTTCATGTGGAGCTGAGGGCACCTGCATCTGCAGCTGCTGCTCGATTCTATTCCGGAAGGGAAGGGCCACAGAAATGACCTTTGTTTGGTGCCACAGTCCAAAGCTGCAACACTAAACTCTCACCTAGGTGGTCACGAGTAGACCCTTTTCTGGTGGCAAAATTTCCCTAGTGGTGGCTCTGTTAACGTCGTGCCTGGCCACCTGCCATTTCAGAGCTATGGACGAGAAAGCAGGCAGCTGATGTGAGCTGCCTTCAGCCAAGCCATTTGCTAGATGGAGGGCCTGCTCGCGGCACACTCTAGCTGCCCTGCGCATGTCTACGTGGTACCTTTAATTCACACAGTGGGCTCCCGCAGGAACGTATGGCCCGGTGGCTCTGTGTGCTGCCTCTCCTCCAGTATCTCTGCTCCCAGCACGTCTCCAGGGTCTTACAAAGGTTACAGATGAGAAGTGTGGCACTGTCCCCAGATACCTGCCTCACTTCTGCGAAGGCCACTCTGCCACACCCACGTCTAAAACGAGTTGAAGAAACACTGAAGACAGGAGAAAATAGGAAGACGGCAGAGTTTCACAAAGAGAGGACTTTTGCTCTGATTTTTCAAGTCACAGGGAGTAAAAGTAGGGTTTCCTTGATGTTCACATTGTTTTCTCATCAAGAAAATAATTACATTATGTATCTGCTTTTGGAATATTTCAGCTCTGATGGTAGGGGTAGATTAAAGATAAAGCCTTGGACTGGAACAAATGTAAACTGAAAAACAACAGAATACAGAGGGTCATCAAGAAGATTATACAAATTATGGATTGAAACCTCTACAAACTGTGAGCTAAATAAACATTTACCCTGGGTGGGGGAAAGACCATACACCCTGACCAAGTTGGATTTATCCCAGGAATGCCCGAATGGTTCAACATACATGAATCAATAAATGTAATACACTATATTAACAGAGTCAAGAACAAAAACCATATGATTCTCTCAATAGGTGAAGAAAAAGCATTGGACAAAATTCAACACCCATTCATGATAAAAACCCTGCAAGAAATTGGAATAGATGGTCTTTATCTCAACTTGATAATGGCTATTATGAGAAGCCAACAGCCAACATCATACTAAATTGTCAAAACCTGAAATCCTTCACACTAAAATCAGGAACAAGACAAGGATGTCCACTATCACCACTCCTGTTCAGTATAGTTTTGGAAACATTAGCCACAGCAGTTAGACAAGAGAAAGAAATAAAAGCAATAAAGATAGGAAAGGAAGAAGTGAAACTGTCATTATTTGATGATATGATACTCTACATAAAAGACCCAAAGAACTCCATCAAAAGACATCTAGACTTGATTGACAGATTCAGTACAGTAGCTGGATGCAAGCTAAATACTCAAAAGTCAATAGCTTTCTTGCACACAAATAACAGTCTCAATGAGAGTCAAATTAGGGAAACAATTCCTTTCACAATAGCATTAAAAAAATGAAATATCTAGGAATCAATCTAATGAAGGAGACAAAAGGCTTCTACACTGAAAACTATAGTACTCAAAAAAAAAAAAGAGAGATTGAAGAGGATATAAGACAATGGAAAAATATACCTTGTTCCTGGAAGAATCAATATAGTAAAGATGGCCATACTTCCAAAACTTCTATACGGATTCAATTCAATCCCTATTGAAATCCCAACAGTATATTTCATAGAACTAGAGAAAACAATCCAAAAATTCATTTGAAATCAGAAGAGACCTAGAATAGCAAAAGCAATTCTAGGCAACAGAGACATGGCAGGGGTATCACAATCCCCAATTTGAAGCTATGATACAAAGCCACTGTGATAAAAACAGCATGGTACTGGAAAAGAAACAGACCTGAGGATCAGTGGAACCGATCAGAAGAAGCAGAAACAACTCCGACACACTCAGCTTCCTCATCTTTGACAAAGAAGCCAAACACCCTTTCTGGAGGAAAGGTAGCCTCTTTAATAAATGGTGCTGGAAAAACTGGATTTCAACTTGTCAAAGATTAAAACTAGACCCTTATCTTTCACTAAAATCCAAGTGGATTAAAGATATAAATATTAAAGCAGAAATACTAAACTTGCTGGAAGATAAGTTAGGTAGAACTCTTGAAGATATAGGCATAGGAAAAGACTTTATGAACAAATAAATCCTCAGTAGCATGGGAACTAGCAGAAAGAATCAACAATTGATCTCATCTTTTAAAAAGCTTCTGCACTGCCAGAGAAATCACAAGCAGAGCTGAGACAACCTACAATGTAGGAAAAAATTTTTACCAGCTGCTCCTCAGACAAAGGTCTACTATCTAGAATATATAAAGAACTCAAAAAAAAAAAAACCAAAAACAAAAACAAAAAACCAGACCCCCACAAATATAAAGACCCAGTTCAAAAATGGGCATCTGAAATGAACAGACATTTCTCAAAGAAGCAAAAATAAATAATCATATGAAAAAAATGTTCAACATCACTGGTTATTCAAGAGATGCAGATGAAAACAACACTGATTCCATCTCATCCCAGTAAGAATGGCAGCTATTAAGAAATGAACCAGCTGGTGGGGTTGGGGGGAAATAGGAACCCTTCTTCCTTGTAGGTGGGAGTGCAGATTGGTGAAACAACTGTGGAAATCAATACGGAGATACCTCAAACAACTGGAATTAGAAGTCCATCCCATTTGACCCAGCCATCCCTCTGCTGGGTATCTCTCCAAAAGAATTTTAAAAATCATACCACAGCAATATATGCGTACCCATGTTTATATCGGCGCAGTTTGTAATAGCTAAAACTTGGAAACGGCCCAATTGCCCATCAACTGGAGACTGGATAAAGAAGATGTATTTTTTTTACATAAAATGAAATACTATTCAGCCATAAAGAACAAGAAACTAGAGAGATTTCTGGTTAGGTGGATGCACATTGAGGCCATACTCTTAAGTGAAATTAATAAGTTACACATCTGTAAATACCGAATAGTTTCTCTGGTGTGAAAAAGTAAAACTGCAAATAAGGATAAAAATGTATAATTGATATTGTGTAATAAGAAGAAAGTCTAAAAGAGTAGAGGAAGTGGGGCGGTAGGGGAAAGGGAAAAAGGGAAAAGAAAAAATATGTGAAAGGAAACAAAATCTTTGTAAACAGGGAAGGGTGGAGGGGCTGGGGGGAGAGCAGGGGAATGGGAAAAATGAGAACCTGGTAAGTCATGAATAGGTACAAGATCCCAGTGAAGACTGTAACTGTCGTATACCTAAAATATACTAATAAATTTAATAAAGATACCTAAATAACTGGTTCGTCTCTTGTTTTTCTGGTTCCTATCTTTATCCTGTTTTATCTCTAGTACTTTCTCACATGTAACTTTAATGAACTGAAATATATAACTTTAACACAACAGGGACCGGCCGATGCAAGTGTTACTCCTGGGTAGTGACCTGAACTCCGCGGGCGGGCACACGTCCGTCCGGCTTTGTCCTCGGAGTGAAGGAGAGACGGCTCTCCCTGCCGCAGTCCGGCATCCCCCGCCTGCCTCAGCTCTGCGGCCCATTCAAGCAGCGCTGCTGTTAGCTTAACCTGGGGTCAGTGAGCAATGGCCTGGGGGCTGAGTCTGGCTTATGGCCTCTTTTGATATTTCTAAGCAGTTGGATAAAAAAATCAAAACAAGAGGAATATTTTAAGATGAGAAACTGAGGTAGAAACCAAATTTTATAACGCACAGCACAAGGTACACCCGAATGCACCTAATCACAGTCTACCTGGACCGCACGCCTCTGGTTTATATTGCCCTCGGCTGCTTTCAGGCCAAGGCTGGCTGCGTGGTTGTGAGTCAGGCCATGCGGCTGTAAGGCCAACAGCGTTTACTGTCTGCCTTTCCAAGAAAGTTTGCTGCCCGGGTCTAACTCGAAAGTTACAAGTCCATAAATACGTCCCGCATTCCTTTAAGCACTGTGCCTGCCCATGGATCTCTCCAGCCTTCTCTGTGATGAGAGAAGATCTGATGCGGCTTCTCGGCCAGGACACAATGGGAATAACTTCCCGGGGGTTGGGCTCGGCAGAGATGGTCTAGGAGGCATCATTTGATCCAGAATTTCCCTGTTTTTGGAGCAAGAAGAACCCGGGCCATCTGACGCCTAGTGTGTCCGGTCCCGAGGCCCCGTGTAGGGGGAAGCACTTGTCACTCGGAAGGGTCACCTCGTCAGTGTCTCAGACGTCACACACTCAGGATTTTGACAGTTTACACAGTGAGGTGCATCCCGTCTGTGTGTGCACGCATGTGACAGAGGACTGAACCTAGGCCCTAGGGCCAACCGGGCAATTTCTGAACCACAAGAGATGAGTCTCAAGGAGGAAGCAAAAGCCCACCTGGACGAGTTTCTGCCACCACAGGGCCTGCGAGGTCAGACGGCTTCCCGACGCCCACCTGGTTGACAGCTCGGACCCGGAACACGTAGCTGACGCCCTCCTGGAGGTCTTGCACCTGGAAGAGGCAGGTGCAGAGGCTGTGGGTCTGAGGTCGCGGGCGCACACTGGCGCACTGGGGGCAGGCTGGCGCTCCACAGCCTCCCCTCTGGGCCGGCAGGATCCCGCCCACTCCAAGGTTCTACTGCGTTTAGATCACCCGACGGCTTCCAGCATCAGACGTGTAGTCAGCCGCCTGGTTCTTTGGTCAAAAAGGCAGAATGAAAAGTGTTGACATCAGTGCACAGCCGCAGCCGCACCCCGGCGCCAGTCCGCTCGAGACATTCCAAGAGTAACTTCAGATGAAACCGTGAGCAGGAGAATGAAAACCTGGGCTCACAGACACTTGAAGTTTGTTTAAATGCACGTTCAAGCACCAGAACACAAACGAAGTTTCTTCCGGTAAATTTACTGTAAATATTTTTCCTTTGATGACAATTACCATCATTGTGAATGTAAGCAATTTGTAAATAATCAAAGTGCACTGAAACTCTAAACTTCAAATTCTCAGTAATTAAGACCCCCTGCCAAGCGCATACCTCAGTGTTCCCTGGCTTCTTCGGATTCAGTGCAGCATTCAGGATCTACTTGCTGCGTGTCAGTCCTACCACACCACATCTTGTGACTTCTCTGATTCTTAATTGTCCCATTACCATTCCGATTACTAATAAATGGTTAGTACTTTATCAAAGTTAACTTTTAATTTTTAAAACATGTGACTTTGATTTTTTTTTTTTTTTGGTTTTTTTGAGACAGGGTCTCACTATGTAGTGAGACCGACCTGGAACTCACTATGTAGCCCAGGCTGGTCTCAAACTCACAGGGATCCTCCTGCCTCAGCCTCCTGAGTACTGGGATCACAGGTGTGCGCCACCAGGCACAGCTAAAACATATGACTTTTAATAGATAAATAGAAGAAATTTATTACACAGAGAAATATAATTTCCCCCTAATTGTATGATTCAGATCAATATCTAAAGTTGGATTTAAATCAAACATTTGTTCAACTAGGTGAAGCATTTGTGATCACACATTCAAACAAGTTGGGCCTTAAAACTTACATTTTTAATCCATTTACTTGTATTTGTATGATGACAGAATGTAGTGAGAGCTTTCACTGGAGCTGAGGATTTTTTGAGATGAATGTCAATCTGTAAGTGGTCTTGGACTTGGACACAGGACATTTGACAAATCTGAAGTTCTACATTGAGAAATAATGCCAGGCAGGAAGCTGCAGGCTTGCAGCAAGGAGCCGACACATTTCCTTGTTGCGCTAAAAACAGACAGGCACCTGATGCACCTGCACCTGCCCACGGGTGAAGCGGTGCTGGGAGGCAGAGGAGGGAGAGGCCCGTGGGCCTCAGCAGCTCCACCAACGAGCGGTGCGCGTGCATTGCTCTCCTGTCCTTGCCCTTGCTCTGCTCCGGAACGGCAGCACTCCCTTGCCTGCTCCCTCAGGTCTCTCACCCCTTCCACTTACACCCTCCCTCCCTCCCGGCCACTAGGCTGTGATGACCAATGAAAAGGAAACGGGAAGTGTGGCCCTGGGTCACACTGCGTTAGTGTGAGGGCGGAGTGCGACTTTCCGGGTGAGGGCCGAGTGACAAGCCCTGTGGTCACCTACCCAAGGGTTTCCAAGGCCTGCTGGGGACTCGGGGTCAGAGTTGGCGGCTCCGGCCCGCAGTCTCTGGCACGCAGAGTAAGGCGCTGGCTCAGGCAGCCCTGCCAGGGAGCCCAGGGGGCACCATGGTGAGCAAGCAGCTGAGGTCGCCAGGTGGCTGAGTGCAGGGTGCAAACCCCTGAGAGCTCAGGGAAGAGCAGGTGGATCCGGGGACGCCCAGGAGCCCACAGAGACGCAGACTGCGTGAACTCCGTGCACACAGTGCCCGGAGGAGAGAGCCACCTGCATCAGCTAGAGGCGGGAAGACAGGGTCGCAGTAGCCCTGAGCTGTGGGTGACAGGGGAAGGCTGAAGCCAGGGAGAGAGGGGAGGGAGGAGGTGCTGGTGGGTGTTTTTCGGAGCCTGGCTGAGGAGCTCAGGTTAAATTATCACCAAGCTGCTGCAGCGTCAGGAAAGTCCCAGCCACAGCCACTGCTGCCTGGGATCTTACCAGGAGCCCAGTGTGCGAAACAGGCCAGAGCAGAGCACTGTTTTCATCTTGCCAACTGTGCATTTGTTTGCTAAGAGGACAGGGTCTTGCTATGTAGTTCCAGCTGGCCTTGAACTCACTATGCGGCCCAAGTTGGCCTCAAACTTGTGGTGATCCTCCTGCCTCAGCCTCCTGAGCCCTGGAATGACAGGTGTGCAGTCACCATGCCCAACCTATCTTACCAACTTTAAAGTTAATATCAGTAGAGTAGATTTTCCTTTTTAGAGCCAAAAAGCATGCCAAGGTCCCAGCACTTCCTACCTTCAGGTACGTATTCTTAACGGCAGCCTTGTTGAGTCCTCGCCATTGGTCGTCTTTGGCCTTGGCCTCCTTCAGGTCCACAAAGTAGCCAGTGACCGGGGTCCGCCCAGAGTGCACTGGGGGCTTCCACTGCAGGACCAGGGAGCTCTTCCGGACCTCGCTGTACCTGAGGCTGTGCGGAGGTCCTGGGAGGGAGAGCAGGGGAGAAGGGAGATCCGTGAGCAGAGGGCACCACGTAGATCGGGAAACTCAGATGGGTACCTTGCACCTGCAAGGACCGCTCGCAGGGCCTCGCGCCAGTGTGCGTCTGTCACCCAGCATTCCCGGGAACATGGGCATTTGCATCCCATGACTGGGCCACACGGCTTCCCAAGGCCATCACCGGGACGTGGGCACGAGCACTAGTGGGGACGAGCACTAGGGGCGCCCAGGGCTGGCTTGGGTCCTCGCGGGGACCTCTCCCCAGAGCTGCTGCAGGGTCCGTTTCCTACCACTGCTGGGTGACCACCTAAAACCATGGAAGACAGCGGCTGCACTGGGCGGCATCTCTCCCGAGGGGGCCGGGTGGCTCCCTGAAGTACACAGCGCACGGACTCTTCACCACAACAAGCACAGGGGACCGCAGGCCTTGACCCTGCTGCATAACCCCGGGCACTTCACGTCCAGCGACCCTATCGTCCTTAAGAACTGACAGAAATCGCACAGATGAGTAACGCTCCCTCTGCACGCCCCCTGCGTTCCTGGGGTCCAGACCACCACGACTGCCCTCATCTCCGCGGGGCGGCAGGTGCTCCTCGGGTGCCACCTTTATGTTTTTCTCTTCCTCCTCCTCCTCGTCCTCTTCAGTCTTCTTCCTTTCTTTCTACGCCCGATTTCTAACCAGCCAATCAAAACCGCCGAAGTGACTCAAGGCGGCCTAAGAGCACCTCCAAACACGGAATGAATCACGCGCGACTTGGCATTTTGCAATCCACGGTTAGGTGTTGGTTAGATCACTCAGCTGGGCGTAGTTTCAAATACGTGTCATCCTTGTGTTCTATGTCTCACGTGGAGACACATTTAAATATTAACAGGAAATCCCCTCCACCAGCGTGTGCAGCAGCCACACCCAGGGGCACCCGTCCTTCCCAGGGAGGCTGGGCCCCGCTGCGTGCTACGCCTCCCCTGTCCCCAGTCCCCAGTCCGGGCCTGCCCTGCTGCGCCCTGCCATGCACCATTTAACTGAGGCTCAGCCTCGTCTGAGCGTGCAGCTGCCCCACTTCCCCGCCTCTCAGGAGCTCCCGGTCACAGAGCTCAGCAGGGCCAGGCCGGCCAGCTCTCGGAGGGCCTGCTGCACTGCCACTTTCTGCAAACTAGGACATCGCTTTCGCTTGAAACCCTTTCACCAGCCTGCTCAGAGTTTCCTTTTCTGGTCATTTGTGGTTCACTTTATCCAGGAGTGCTAAAAATGTGAACACAAACGCACCTGTGTGCAGGAAGTAGAGAGAACTTTTCAAGAGGCCCGGAAGGGGAGAGCGCTGGCCTCGTGTGTTTGCCGAGCGAGCCCTCACCCTCGGAGTTTGTCCCCTCACACTCAGCAGACAGGTGGCTCAATGGCGCTCCCTGGGTGAAGGCAGCAGATTGCTCTGCCCAGCTCCAGGGCTTCCCACAGAGGACAGGAGGCCCTGGGGGCAGGTCTGTGCCCACCCGCCAGGGAGCTGAGGAGGCCTATGGCCGCCATGCCCATTCAACAAGGCAGCTGTCAAACCAGGTGGACAGCTGAGTCTCTGTGACGCCCAGACTGTTTGGGTCTGTGAAGTCAGGGCCACTGGAAACAAAATAAAGTCACCCAGCAAACACAGGAACATTGCTAGCTTCAATCTTGAGCAGCTTAGTGAATTTGTTCATACTCAACTCTTACATTTTCTTACTAGCTCTGTAACAAGGTTAAGCCTTGCTCTTCCCTAGTTCATTTCCTGCCCACCCAACAACCTTCCATGATGAATTCAAAAGGAGATGATTTGCCAGCCAGGTTCCAGGGTCTTTCTTGTGGAGCAGGGTTTAGAAAATATGGAGGGCGAGGAGAAGGGAGAGGGGAGAGAGAGAGGAGCCAGCAGAGAAAGCAGACTCCAGAAGCAGGCGGGCACATCCGCCTGTCTGTGTAACACAACCACGAGCTGGGAAGAGGGAGGAGAAGCCACCCAGGCTGGGTCTGCAGTGCTTTGGGAGTTGAGGCCCCAGAGCGAGGGGAGATTGTGTGCTGCGCTACGGAATGCAGGGTGTTGGGAGAAGTTCTGCTGTGGAATGTGAGCTGGGTGCCCTTTAATGGTCCTTAAGGCACAAAAGCAAAGAGTAGATTCCTTTCGAAGGCTCTGCTAGCTCCTAGGTTGTTTTGCCTCTGTCAACCCTACCCCAGGCAGTATGAACTCCTCTGGAATTTATTTGAAACACAAGTGTAAGGAATTTATTCTTAACTTCACATTGCTATCACTTAGTATTATCATAAAACTATTTTAGGTGTGCGAGGGGAACTGAAGTGGGCTGTGTAGCTAGCGCCTTGGTAGTCAGGCCGCAAGGTGCAGGTGCTGGGGAAGCCACCCCAAGTCCAGCGGGCGACCCTGCCCCCTTACCGGGCACAGCGATGGTCCACTCCTCACACCTGAAGCCCTGGCTCACGGCTGACGGTGCCCCCAGGCCGGCGATGTTCACGGCCGCCACTTGGAACTGGTACACCATGTTCTCCTTCAAGTTGCTGATCTGCAGGAGGTGAATGTTACAGGTTTGCGATTTCTCATCACCTCTTTTGATCTATGTACCTCCAGGCTGTGTGCCGGTGGATTCACCACCTGCTGGCAGCCGGAGGACACGGGACGGTACCAGAATGGCAGTCCTGGCACCGAGTCTCTCCATGAAGGAGAGGGTGCTACACGTGTCACTCAGGTCCTTCGCCGGCTGGTTTGGGGTTCGTCAAAAGGGAAATCATCCTGGGTGAACCTGACCCACTCAGGTAGGGTCTCCGGAGGACTCGGGCCCTCCCTGGAACGTCACTGGCCTGGGCCTCGGAGAAACGAAGCTGGGTTGCCTCAGCCCTCGGGACGCAAGGAGCTGAACTCCGCCAAGAGTCGCAGTGTCCAGAACACAAGCTCTTGGCGCGGTCCCAGCCCTGCGCACACTCAGACTGTGCCCTCGTGAGACCCGGCAGAGCGCCCAGCAGGCTGTGCCCAGGCCCTGTCTCACGGACGGCGCTGACAGACAGCAGCGGTCACTCTGCGTCACAGTGTGCGCTCACTTTCTACGCACTGGTGGAAATCTGCCGCACGAACACACACAACGTGGATGGTGAGCTAGAGTTCAAGTGTCACAACTCTTACAATGCCCCCAAAGTTTACTGTGTCATCGAGTATTTTCTGGGTTCCTTAAAGTGACCTGGGTAGTTGTGAGGGTGAATACACACGATGAAAGAATGCACATGAAAACATCTGCCAAGTAGAAACGACACAGTACACCACTGTGCAAAAAGCTTATGTAAACTGCAGGATAGGTAAAATAGGACCATGCAGTGCAGCAAGAAGAGAAAATAATGGACAATCAGGTGCAAAACAAGAGAGAATTTATAAACTGATAGGGAGCCAAAAGAATTACACAGTGTACAGCACAGAAAGACAAAAGCTGTCTGAGAAAAAAGACAAGTTTCCCTCAAATGAGAAAGGGACTATGTTGACAGGTGTGTGGCAGCAATGGGCCAGAAGGTAAGGGAAATGTGTATTCAAAGCACCGAAGAAACAAAAGCAAAAAACCATAACGGATTTTTTTTTTTTACCCAAAAGAAATATTTCTGGAGAATGAGAAAAAATTAATGATATTTACAGACAAACAAAAATAAAGACAGTTTGCCCTCAGAACATCCTCACAAAGAGAAATTCTAAAACATTTAAGGCAACAGGAAATAGTCTCAGGCAGAAGGTCAAAGATGAAGAATTAAAACCAAATAAAACGGGGCCAGGGATTTGGCTCAGTGGTTCTGCCGCCTACCTCGCAAGGTCAAGGCCTGAGTTCGATCCCTGGTACCAAAAAAATATAAAAAACAAAAAAACAAATACAATGGTAAGTATATAGATAAATCTAAACAAATATTGTCTCTATAAACAATAACCAACATACTATTTGTATTTAAAAACAGAACCCAAGGGCCAAGGATTTAGCTCAGTGGTGCCACTGCCTGCCTCACAAGCAAGCGCAAGGTCCTGTGTTCAATCCCTGGTACAAAAAAAAAAAAAAAAAAAA